GCTCGAAAATTTGTGACTGAAAATTTTTTGTCATAACTTTTCGTCTAATATATTGTACAAAGTTGGATTTTGGCACAGAAAAGGTTTGATTTAGTTTTGTTGCAAACAAATCTTTTATGAAAAAAATACTTATTTATGGAAAAAAATACGATCTTCGCTGCACAACGAGTCCCTTACGTCATTTGTCATTAAACTTTGTAAAATTCTCCAAATCTCTTTTGACAAGTAAAATTTCTTTATTTATCTTCCATTTTTATCTACATAAAATGGCATATTTCCAAAATTTAAACAAATTTAATGAACAAATATGCGATTTGCAAACACTATGGCCAAAAAGAAAGGCATTCTGAAACGATTCAAATCAAATATAAAATGGTTCCGTAATGAGCAGTATTCTTCTTCAGATTCTAACTAGCTCGAGTTCTTTTGAGTAAATTTTGTTTAATACAAGTTTTGCATTTGTGAAATCAAAATTATAAATTCATTCCTCAAAATATAATGAAGGCATTTGCATAGAGCAAATTTTTTAATTTTGTTCAGTTTGATTTGGGTTAATCGAAATAGCTTTTGAATTAATTATTCAACTAAAATTTTAATATAAACTGGTTGCAATTAATGATTTTGGATGACTTCATATAAAATTAAAATTTTAATTGAAATTTTAAACTTTAAGGAAAGCAGTATATCAGTTTGCGTGAATATCGTGTTATTTTTGAAGCAGTTCTATCTTAGGAATAAAAATTCTAGTAATAATTTTAAAAAACACCCAAAATTTCATCTATAAAAAACTCTGAATAATAATAAATTCATCACAGAAGACTTGAGGATTCATCCATTATTTTGATTTTTAGTTATTTCAGTTTTTTCCACAACGCGATCAATTCACGGCCTTCTCAGATTATATCATTTAATAATAGTTTTATGATAAACGAAATTTCCTATAAAAATTTGGACAAAAAAAGTTGAAAATTAATACTGAATAATCCTGAAATTTAATTTGAGATTAAAATCGAGTTCAGTGCTAAAATAAACTGAGATATAGAGTAAGAGTTAGAGCGAAGAACGAAATCAGAGAAAGGTTGAAAACTTTTTCGAATTAATTGAAGAATTGTAGTTTATTCAAGATCAAATCAACTAAAATAGAGCTTTTGAACAAAGGATCAAGTTGAAATTAGCATATTTTCAAACCGTTTGTGAAATTTAAGTTTCAATGATTATTAGACCATTTTTAGCAATGCAATATTTTTTAAGCTTAAGCTTTTCAATAGGAGTAAAAAATTTGTAATTTATTCACTTATTAGATTGAGATAAACGAGCATTTTTGCTTTATTACCACTAAAGTCACAATGAAAAAAGCTGTTCGAAAGCATTTTGGTCAAGGAAATGAATAGAGGCATGAATTTGTCTTGCTTAATTTGAAAGACAAGTAATGTAAATTATTCGAACAGTTACCTTAATGAGGCAGTAGTCACGCCTTGAAAGTAAAAGTTAACTTTAATATTATTCATTAAAATCAAAGAAAAAATAATTTCATTTAATCAAGATAGTTAATAGTTCATTAAGGGCTATTCAACTTTCTTCTTAGCATCAAACTTTCGTTCGATGATTCTATCATTTTGCACTTGAATTAAAAAAAACTTTCTCTATCCTTTTTAAATATATTTTTCCAAATATCATTTTTTCAAAAAATAGGAATATAATTTAGAATATAATGATTAAATATCATTATTTTACGAAAGTCCTTAGAATTAGCTCTTAGCTCTTATAAAAATTCGTTATTATAAACTATATAAACGAAATTATTTCAAAAATCATCAAAAAAATTTGCATAATTAATTATCATTGGCTTGAACTCTTCTAGTGTTTAAAAGCTTATTTCAAAGCGATAAATATAATAAATAAAATAAATATTGTATTAGTATAGAAATTTAATTTTCATATTTATATTGAGAAAATGATTTTTTTTCATATTTTTGCTAAGCAGTAAAATCATACTTTTGTGCAACAATTTAGTGATATATTTTTTATTGGGCAAAAAACATTTCTGAACAAAATTTTGCTGTGCATTTTATGAATAATTAAAGATTTAACTGCCATTTTTTTGAATAAGTTCAATGCATTCATAAAAAAAAAGAGAATAATGTCTAATCTAACTCCAACTTTCAATTAGTTATTATTGCTGAGAGTTTTGCTTGCAAATGCTTTCTATATGGCGGAAATGTATTTTGTTACTTAACTTTTTATGAATGATTCGACGTCAAATTAGCAACGTCAAATGATTTTAGCAAGTTATTCATAAAATATTTTCCATGCAGAATATTACATCTGTTCTGCATGCTTTTTACACATTTTCAATTTAGTAATAATGTCCAAAATTAACCAAATTTAAGCATTAATTTATCTTCTGGTCTGAATTTTTTCAAATGACTTTTTTCGAACATTTTTTGCTGGTATTGCATTTTGCTGGAAGTAATGACATGAGCATATCTGTCTGAATAGTATAAATGTAATTTGCAAAATATTACGTTGTAATTTCTACTATTTTTTGTTGTTGAAAGTTATGCTTTAGATGTAAAAATTCATGTTTACAACGGAAGAGAACAAAATTTTATATCATTCATATAGAAAAATGATCTTTTATTAATAGCAGTAATTATAGTAATAACAATAATGATATCAAATGTATGAATAATCACGTATAATAACAATAACCATAACATTATGCATATAAATATGAATCTTAACATGAAAGTGAATATTAAACATAAGTTATATGAATACAAGTACGAATAAATAAAATTCATTACAGAATATTATTATTGATAGCGACAATAATAGGGTGAAAGCAAGCGAGAATAAAGGAAGAAAATAATTTGTTTCAAAATTCGAGTTTTGTGATTGATATTACTAATGACGCTAACGATAATAGTAATAATAGTAGTAGTAACGTAATATTGAGATTATTATTGCTAAGAGAAGTCCTAAAATACTAATAGCAATATTAGCATGTAGAATGAGAACATAAAAAATGAGCGTGGGATTAGTATAGATTTGATTTAAGTCTTGGGAGATTAAGCTATTTGTTATAATGCGCATGAGAAAAAGCAGTGCAAAATTATGCAAAACAAATGTTAGATAGAAAATTTAAAAAATACGAAAAATTTTTGAGCTAATTGTCTTCCCAAGGCAAAAATTAACAAAGCACTTGAAGGCTATATTAGAATATTTTTTCTCTTTTTTTTTGCATTTTTCAACGATTCAAACTCTTTTATTATTTGCAAGAATAGGTAAAGTATAGAAAGAAGTGCTCACAAATGTGAATAAATGAATGCTTAATGATTCTATCATTACTCAAATAGATTCTCCATCCGCTGAACTCCATCATTAATATGAATACAGATCGTTATGCATATTCTGCTTTTTATTTTTTATTCGTTTTAAATTACTGCTTAGGAATTCAAAATATTTTACTGCGCCCAAGTCATTAGAATGGTTTATTTTATGCATTAAAAAAAATTTGCTTCAATTACTGTCACAGCGTTGGAAAAAATGCAATTCTCAATAATTTTAATAAAGGAACTGAATTCATTTTGGAAGATTAAGTTAATAATGCTGGATGACAAGTCTGATGACGATGGTTTCAGAAGGAATTTATTAAATTGAAATCAAACTTCAATAAGTATTCCTTGTCATTCAGTACTATCGTATTTTTTATTATTTTGAATATAAGGTTGTTTAAATTTCTTGCGAAGCAATATTTACTTCTTTTTCGCTTTCTCTACATGCATCAAAACTTTTTCGCTCTTTGATTTTCAGTACCACTGAAACTGATTATTTTATAATGATACTAACTGTTGTCATTAACAGGTAATAAAATATAAAGTTTGATCAAAATCATTTGATTATTTGATTTTTAAATGATGAGGAGATTGAAATTTCAGATTACAGAATAGTAGATTCCTTCTCGTTTTAATTAGTTATAGGCAGAATATAAAGTGGATGCTAGAGATTGCTTAACTGAAATAAACAAAATCTATAATAGCAAGTGAATTTTTAGCATGTTATTTGATATGAATGAATTACATTAGCTACTTACTTTGAATTAATTTGAGCAAATAGAATAAATCAGGCCTAAAAAAGATTTGCAAGTGTATGCATACTTGTTGAGTAAGATTTCTTTTCGTAGGAATAGAACAATTAGATAGAACTAGCTAGACCTTAAGTGATATTAATTTGAGAATTGATAGTAATTTAAATTGGATTTAAACATAATGATGGAATGTGCTGTTATTTTTACTTTCATTTGCAATCAACAGCAGATGTGGTAGAGAGTTTGTCGAATTTAAAAACGTAAAATCATCTGATCTTCCATTACGTCACAAATCATTCATTCAGACACAGTGCTGTCTTCTGTGAAACTCAAACGATCAATTAATAATATTTTAATCAGAAGTATTACAACTTTATTTTATATATCAAATTAGTTAATGATTAATTAATCTTGTCCATGTAAAATCTTAACTATTATTGTATTTTTTAAGCTATCAAATAAAAAGCAGCAAGAAGAGATAATCATTCAGCTCAGGTAAGAAATTTCACGAAATTAGCGGAGATTCACGTCATTGGTGATTGGCGATGTCTTCTTTACCTTATTAGTTCTCAGATCCATGATTAAGGATACTTTTCAATCGTACGAAATTCATAGCATTCTTCATGAATACTTAATTTTTCGCTTTTTGCTAAGCCATACTATGGCAGACCATAGCAAGGGGGTGTAATATCTATCTATCCATCTATTCATCTATCCATCCATCCATCTTTCTATCGTACTTTATTTTATTTTCCAAGCTTTAATAACTACCTCCTCCTCTTCCTCCCACTCCTCCTTTCAGTGCCACACATTTCAGTCTTTCGTATTCCATTCTAACTCATTTATCTTCCACATGATTATATAATTTTATTGTTGTTACAAGTATTTCCTACACTCGAAACTTGAAATTATGAACAGCCAAATGGCAAATTATCGGCGTTATCCATGTTTTCCCACGTGTCGTATACCTGATAAACGTGACTTCATGGATTCTAATCCACCACGTAGTAACGAGGATTTTTATCGTCACTATGATCCATGGATTGGTATTAGTACAGCCATTATTCTTTCTTTATTTTTTGTGCTTATCGCATTCAAAACATTTGTGAAATGGTTTCTGTATCAAATTAATAATTGGCGATATTATCGACGAGATCAGCGTGAAACAGGCTGTAAGAATTATAAGCAGAATCATACGCTATACTTGGACACAACTAGTTCTGCTGTTGTCAATACGGAAATTGCTGATAATGGTCATATATCAGCATTAGCTAGTTGTTGCGTGGAACGATGATTTCAGTTACTTTCTATCGTGAAACAGATAATTTGGAATATTAGTTCGGTCAGAGGGACATCATCAAAAGAATAATGACTGCAAAAAAGAAGATGAAAATAAAAAGCGAGATTTCTAATCAAACAAAGTTATAACTTATTATCGAGAATTCCAAAGTTTGCATGAGTTCGTTGCACCTTACTTCTTTTTCATTGGTAGGAACATCCAGAAAAAGAACCGTGCGGTTTTCTAATGACATAACCGCTAAATAAGGTAAGAGTGTGGTGACTTTCAACTTTTTGAAATTTTTTTGAGGTTGCAAAAGTAATAAAAGTATATTTGCGGTAACTCAAGAGAATTATTACTCTTAACCAGTAGATAAAAATTATTTTTATTGCAGAGTAATACTGGGGAGTGAACTCAGATTCCTGAAATAATAATCGTTGGATGGAAAAAGCTGTGCAATCAATCATTATCGATAATGTATTGCATTTGCGAAGAACTTTGCGAAGAATGCATATTCGATTAATTTAATGACAAGTTAGACGCCTTTTCAAATGCATTTCGTCGTCTACTAAAAGTTATCACTTTCACTTTGAATATAATAACAGTTAAAAAATTAAGTTTAGCACTTTATTCTCGTGAAAAATTTAAAAAAATAGAGAAAAGCTTGCATTTTTCTAGCAAAAAAAGTTTGAGTTTTTCCACTAAATTTTTCAAAAGAAACAATGAAGCCATCTATCTACCTATCTATCTATGCATCTATCTATCTACCCATCTATCTATCTATCTATCTATCTATCTATCTGTCTATCCATCTATCTATCAAATAACGAATGATACAAGTAATTGCTAATAATGATAGCGATAATAATAAACTGCTATAATCAAAGCAGTTGTTTTGATATCAGTAGCATTAGTAATGTAAAATGAAATAATGGCAATAAGGATTTGAAATAAAAATAATAATGAATGAATGAACAGATACATAAACAATAAATAAATATGCAAATAAATAGATAATAATTAATTTCAATCATATGATAAATAAAAGATATCTCCACTACTTTGATGTTCAAAGATGAAAAAAACGATCTACGGCAAATATATCATTTTTTGAAGTATTTCAGGCTGAAATAACACTGCATAGTTTGCAAACAGAAAAACATTTCATTTAAAGTTTTTTGGTACTTTTTTGGATATAAAATCTGATGCAGTGAGAAACCACGCATTTTATATTGCAACAAGCATTTTCAAGATTTATTAGTTATGACTGAGTAATTAGGAAATTAGCATAACTCTGATTATTTTGAATCTAATTGGTAGACTCAGTGAAATGTCTATCCCAATAATAATTTTATTCTTTAAGTTTCGAATATGCCAAGCATCTGCTGAGCTTTTCAAGATCTAGCATTTTACAATTATTCTCCTCAATATCTCAATCTTTTCTAATCCAAAGTCCGTCTACTATATTCAACCAAATTTTTCATCGTTAAATTAATTATATAATCATAATAATGCATGTTTTGTCGGGTAAAACCGATAATTTAATTTCTTCTGTGAAAATTGTAAGCTTTTTATGCATGCATCAAATTGAATCAGTCAAAATTGCCGACAATCAGTGAATAAAACCAGGATTTCTTGTGAGTATTCAACTAAGCAGCGAAGAAAATTACTCTAGAATAAGCAATTTGCACAAGGAATTCGAAATACGTCATACATATCTTAATTAAAATTTCTTTTCGAACTAGAATTAGCTCCATCACTTGTTTCGAATACAAAATTGTCACATACATAATTCTTCAATACTCTCCTAAAGCATTTCAACTATCATGCAAGTGCAAATTAACTATATATTTTTATTGTGTGCGAATTCACGCAAACATATTACTTATTTAAGCCAACTTAATCTCACTTCAAACTACCTTTGTCTTAAAAATACTAATTAATATAAAGTGATTTATTCATATTTAAAATTTTAAATGAGGGCCTAAGACAACGTACACTTAACATGGCTTAATTGGGATTGCCACGTCAAACAAATTTTGTCAACTTGATTTAGATGAATAATGTTTGATGGTGTCCATGTTTAGGGTCAAATACTTCTAAGGCCATTAGGTTCAAAGTCGTCTTAATCTTGAATTGAAGCGACTAACGAAATTTACAAAGAGCTTGCAAAGAAGGCCAACAATACAGTATCTTGCTTCTTCGTTCGGCACTTCTTTCCAAAAACAACTTTCTCGATTTCAGTTAAAAAACTATTTTCCCAAGGAATTCCTATATTTAAAAAAAATATACTTATAAGTGTGCATGAATCCATAAGCCGATTTCTAATAAACTTTTGACTTTCCCTGTGGTTTGCTGAGAAGTTAAGTTTATCAGAGACGAAATTTATCAAGCCTTTATTAACAATAAATTTTATAACGAGAAAAACGTTTGTAATTCACAGTAATGAGAAAAACCGAATATATATAAACAATAATGTGGGAAAAATGTTTTAGTAACTTTGTTACCATCTTATTTATACTTACTTTACCAATCAAAGTTATGTGCTGTATAAAACGAATTTTTAAAGTAACATACTTATTATATATATATAATCTTCCAATTAACATATTTGCAAAATTAAGATAGCCAAGTAATTTAACTTGCATTAGAAACATGAAAAATAAAAGGAAATTTTACAAAAAATTCACACAATTATCTCAAAAAATGAATAATGAAATAACCGGTACAAGGTCCAAAGAGAAGTTTTCTAACATTTTTCTAATTCTTCATGATTTGTGTCTTGAAAAAAAGTTTGAATTTAGAAGCCTTTGTTATGATCAATAATAAGCTCGATTACAATTAGAAGTTTTAGCATGTAGCAATAATAGATTAGCAAATATTTTCCACATCAGGAAAAATATAAGGAATCATTTTTTTTCTCCTACAAAAAATTTTCTAAAAATATAGCACAGAAATATTTTACAGGGGTTCCAGATCGACATGCTTGACATCTGGATGTTTTTTAGTAATAACTTCCTCGATTCGATCGACTTCGTCAGCAATACGATCTACGATATGCTCACCGTGATGCAACATAAATCGTCTTAGGCTCTCTTCATCCTTGATTTTCTTAGCTTCCTGAAAAATAGAATTTCTAATGTAACTATTGCGTGTAATTATTTCTTACATTACACTATATAATAAAAGTAATTGTTCGTAATACCATAGCGAAAAACATTTGAATACAGAAAAAGTAACGAGCAGACAATCTTAAACAAATAAAATTATGACCTGGATCAGTTTGAAAACTTTTAATTAGAATCAAGAACACCTATTTGAAACTGAGATATCTCATCTTTCCTTCCATTCCAGTTGATTGTTTCCCCTTTTCTGATTCAACTTTTGCAATAACAATATACATCTTGATATTTCACACACAATACCACCATTTTCAAAAACAAAAATGCCCGAAATCTCAATCTAAGTTGCACTCTCACATTATTAATTTCTTTCTTTAATTCAAGCAACAAATCTTGCAAATATTGATATTTTTCAGGGTATTTGCAGAAATAATATAATTAGTCAATATTCTTTCTAATTTATGCTTTATTTTTAAGTTCTGTTTGTTTCAGAGCCTTAATAAAATGCCTCTAAACATTCAATTTCGAAGAAAAATGCTTAAATTTCTGTGCTTCAAACCTTAAGTCATACTGCCACTAGCTTCATATCTCCCAAACACTTTGTGATCAATTACAAAAATATTATTTTCATTTCATAAGTTTACATTTATAACTTCTAAGAACTTTGAGTCAACTTGATTACTATAAATCCTAAACTAAATCGAGTAAGCAGTTTGGTAGATTCAGTTATTTATGGAATTTGGAAAGCAAAACGCACCCCAATCTACGGATTGCTTCTCTATCCAATTACTAGTAAGGGTCTATCTATTTTTTTGATAAAAATCATATTGTTATTTAGAAAAAATGTGTAAAAAACATTATAATTTTCTGTACAGAACCTTATACAAACAAATACATGATTAAAAGATCTGTTTGTTTTCAAATAAAATAATTTGCTTTGTTAACAGAAAGAACTTTGAAAAAACAATAAAAAGTTTCTGCGAACTTCATTAAAAATTGCCAACTAGAAGGAATTTTCCACAAAATTTCTTTAATCACACTATTTATAACGACTTCAGTGGCATATCAAAGAAGTTTGCATAAAAATTTTAATTCCCTGCATCAAAAAAATTTAGATCATAATTTTTAATAAGAATTGTCATCACAAAAAAAGATATAATGGAGCAGAAAAAATTTCACCAATTTTTATCATGAAAAAACTATCAGAATCTTTTAAATAAGTAAGAAAGAAAACTATGAAAGATAGTGGATGCAATTTAGACTTTGCAAAGATATGGATTAATTTAAATAAAACCAAAAACACAAACTGAGTGATCATTTAGTGAACTCAAGTTCACTATAGCAAACTTTGAAAGGTTTCAAGAAGTTTTATGAGTTTCAAAAAGCGATTTTTGCCACTTGACGATGATTACTGGCAAGAACTAGATGAAGAACAAATGGCAGAAAATTTTCAGCAAGAAATAAAAAAACTCTGTTCCTACGCAAAAATTAAAATTACGGTCCAAAATAAATGCAATTATTTATGACATAAACAATCAAAAGGAATCCTGAACGACGCGATTTATAGAAATTTAAATTTTGTATGTGTGGCCGAATTTAACTATGACATGTAAATTTACGATATTCTTTATTAAAACAAATAACCAACTTCGACTACAGAAGGAATGTGACATGATTCCGAAAGATACAAATTAGTTATGACTCGCCCATCATACTCTACTTCTGCTTTAAAACGTACGTGATCCACTCCATGTCCAACAGCCTTTACATCATGCACTGATCTAAATTAGTGATTAACTGCAATACTG